TATTTCTGTTGACCCGTTCCGCTATATTTGATTGCGGCCGATACGGGACCATTTTTAAATGACGTATGCCCAGTTTTTGGCACATGTCTTCAAATATATTACTTACAAATTGAGGACCATTATCCGATATAACTTTTAGGGGGCGCCCGTATTTTAAAATATATTTATTTAAAAAATAGAATCGGTAACTAATTTAATTTTATTTAAAATAGAATCGGTAACTAATTTCGCGGAGGCTCGTTTTAAGGGAACAATTTCGGTCCATTTACTAAAATGATCAACCATATAACAAGGAGATAGCGACTTTTTATTTAACTGACTTTTTGGGAAAGGGCCCAATAAATCGATGCCGATTATTTCATTTGGAAATTCGGATTTAATACTATTTAGAAACCCGGCCGGGCGGAAATTAATATAATTAACGGCTTGACATGTTGGGCAGGACTGGACATACGCCCTTGTTAACTTTTGCAGTTCAGGAAAGTAGACTGCCTCGCGTACGCGTTGGATAGTTTTTCGAATACCAGCATGAGAAGCTAAAGGGCTGTCATGGAGCTCTTGCAGGATATTTAATCTAAGACTAGCTGGGATAACAGGTCGAAATTCGTTGTTGGAATTCGTAGTTTTTGTATAAAATAATAGACCATCTATTAGTTCGTAATGGGCCGCCCTATTTCTTATCGCCACAATATCTTGGTGGCTAAAATTTTCAGGATCCTTCAAATACTCATAAATACTTCCAAACTCAGGATCCTTACCCAGTTCGGTTATTACAGTTTCTCGGGAATTTATTGTACACGCTGTCAGCATTGCCATCTTTACGGTATTACCTTGTTCGTCTATTTTAATTCGTGATAGGGCATCTGCTACGATATTTTCCTTTCCGGGGGTATGCTTGATTACCAGATTATATTCTTGCAGCTTGAGTGCCCATCTTATTAACCTTGGGGATAAATTTTTCCCTGAGTACAATCTAGTTACCGCCGCATGATCAGAATATACTGTTATCGGCGCCTTTCCAAAATAGACTCGGAACTTTTGCACTGCTAACAGAACTGCAAGTGCCTCTCTCTCGGTCGCGGAATAGTTTCTTTGTGTTTGATTTAAAGTTCGGCTAAAAAATGCCACGGGCTGCTGATTTTGCGAAAGTACCGCTCCTACCGCATAATCCGAAGCATCCGCTGAAATTTCTAAATTTTCATCCTTTTCAGGAAATTTCAACACAGGGGCTTGCGTTAATGCTTGTTTTAATTTTTCGAAAGCACTATTGGCTTCGGCCCGTCCACGAGAATCTTGCCTTTTTCCTTTTTAATTTTAACAATGGCTCAGCGATAGCCGCAAAATCTTTTATAAAGGACCTATAATATGAACAAAGTCCTAGAAAAGAAGAGAGCTTCTTTGCCGTGTTTGGAGTCGGATACTTTTGTACAGCGATTATTTTTGATTCATCTGTCTCGATCCCTTTTTGCGATATTTTGTAACCTAAATATTTTAATTCAGGGGCTGCAAATTTGCATTTTTCGACATTAACTTTTAGACCGGCCTCATTTAATAAAGAAAACACCTGTCTTAAATCCTGTACATGTTGGTCTAGATTATCACTAGTAATAATGATATCGTCTAAATAGATAAATGTGGACTTTCCGAAGAACAGGTCTTAACACAATGTCCATGCATCGCTGAAATGTTGCTGGGGCGCCTGAAAGGCCAAACGGCATTCGCAAAAATGCATAAGTGCCAGACTTGGTTATAAAAGCAGTCTTAGGCACGTCCTCAGGCCTGATCCCCTATTTGAAAATAACCATTCGTTAAGTCTAAAGTCGTCATAAATTTGGTTGATTTTATGTTCCTTAAAATTTCTTCTATAATCGGTAACGGATATACCGGATATTTCGTTATGGAATTTAATTTACGGTAATCAATAGCGAATCTCCACCTTTTTGGATGCTCCAAAGGATAATCATTATTTTTCTTACATAAAACCACCGGACTAGCATAACTACTTGAGATAGGCGTTACGATCTTTTTACGTAGCATATCGGTAATATGCCATTCTATAATTTTTTCCTTATTCTTATCATACCGGTATGGTTTTTGACGAACCGGCAATGCATCTCCGGTGTCAATACTATGGTTAGTAACCTGGGTAAATCCTGGAATATCACTAAATAAGGAAGCAAATTCACTTACCACTTGTCGGATTCTATCTTGCTCGTCATTAGGCAGGTGGTCAAGATTTAACCTTGGCGGTTCAACCTTTTCTACACGCACTGGTTTCATCGTCAGCTTAAGAGACGCTTCATTAAAATCCAGTGTAGCTTGTGCGTCTGAAAGAAAGTCTATTCCTAGTATTAAGTGTGCTTGCAAATTCTTTACTATAAAAAAACATCACCTTTACTTGTTCGTCCTTGATACGGATGTACAAAGGTACTTTACCTACGCACTTACATTGTTCTCCTTGCGCCGCTAATACTGTTGTATTATCCGCATTATATATGCGGTATTTGCGAAAATACTTTCTAAAAAAGACTTCTGCCACACAGGAACACTGCGCGCCGGTATCCAGGAGTGCGGTGGCCGGGATATTATTTACCAAGACTTCAATCTTCGGAAGAGTTAAATTTTTCACCATTACTGTATTTAACTTGTAGGAAGAGGGGTTTTCGTGGCCTTCGGATTTCCGCACCCTCTCGTCAGCAGAAATCCGTTTTAGTTTAAATTATTTTTCCTTTCGGTGCTTTCCTTCTTTTTCCACTGGCCTTGAGACTTTTTTCCTGGGTTGCTATTGAACTGTCGACGTTCGCCGGCTGTTTTTGAATGCTCGGGTTTCCTTGCCCACTGATTCGCTTTTTCTCCGTAGCCATGTGCTTGAGTTTGCTGTAGTCTTGGCGTACCAAATTGGTTTCGCTGTTGATATTGGCGTCTTCTTTCGACGTCCGCCGTTCTTCTTCTACTTTCAAACTGGATTGCTAGCTCAAATAATTTTCCAGTGTAGTCGGATTTCTCAATTCAATAAAGTCTTGCACTTGGGGTAGTAACCTCGGCAAAATCACTTGAATTATTTCAGGATCCGGACGGTTTCCATACAAGAGCTTGAAAACGTGAATTTTTCTTAAAATAAAGCTCGAGAGGTTTTCCATTCTTTGTTGATATATACTGAAAAGTTCTGTTTCTAATTTCGCACGATCCCTTACAACAGGGAAGGCTTTTAGTAGGGCAGTCTTGAAATTTTCGTAGGTATAGGTGGGACTTCCTGCTTGACCCAAGAGACTTCTGCCGATACATTTGAACCAGTTAAGCGCTTGGCCCCTCAAAGCGCTGGTAGCTAAGGTAACTTTTTGAAACTCGTGCACGGGGTAGAGAGCATGAAGTGGTCATCCAATTTTTCCAAAAAACTGGTTACCTGTGAGTTTCCATTAAACGTTGCTTCTGGTTTCATCGAAGCGCGCATGGTCTGGACAATATACCCAAATCCTTCCAGGGCGGCAGCTGGCATTTCTGGATTCTGAGCCGTTTCTGCAGGCAGCACAGGTTCTTCTTGAAACTCGGCCATGGTTATTCTTCGTCGGGCGCCACTATCAGGTTCAATGTTTCTTCTAACCTTCTTCGGAAACATACAATGACCTGACTAGAACAGAGAGCTTACTAAAGCTATGTTCACTAATTGTAGTAAGTAGACAGGATACAGACGAAGGGTATACAAAACCCTTTATTTTTCTTTATATACAATGACTTCCGTACTTCGGAATACAATGACCCTCCACTCGGGGTCTAACGTTAAAAGATATCAAAATAAAACTAAACTCTAATTTAACTTTAGAATAAGATTGGCCTTATAATAACAGAAAGCGTATGTAGCACAGAGACTGTGAACACTACAATACGTTTAATTTATCAAGAGGATTAAAACCTCTGGCCTGGAAGGCAAAGTAGCAACTGCGTAACTTCTAAGGTAAGCGGCCTGCTTCGAACTCACGGCTTCCTCTCTTCTGCTTGGCAAAAAGGCCACACTTAAATACTTGGCGTTCGCCAGACAACTTTGAAAACAACTATAATGTTAGACTTTAGTAATACAATGACACGTGGGTAAGAATTGGCTGGAAGATTGGCCTTATAATAACAAAAGCCGTATGTAGTACAGAGAACTGTGAACACTACAATACGTTTAAAAATTATCAAGAGGATTAAAACCTCTGGCCTGGAAGGCAACCAGCAACTGAGTAAACTTCTAAGGTAAGCGGCCTGCTTCGACTAACTCGCTTGGCAAAAAGCCACAACTTAAATACTTGGCGTTCGCCAGACAAACTTTGCATAAATACTTTAACGCTTATAATTCTGGCCGGAAGTAGAAAATAAGAAGTGATAGTAAAGATTTAAAATAAAATAAACGTTAGTAAAACTTAAGATCCTTACAAAACTACTTTCCAATTTTCAAATTTAATTTTGCATAAAAATGAAAAATTCTAAAACAGCAAGTATGAAATCAGAATAAAATCTTGAAAGGTTTTATTGTGTTTCACACAAAGTTTTGATTAAATTTCATAGCACCAAAAATTATTAATTAAAAATTTTTTAACTAAAACATTTTAACAAAATGACATAAATATGTGCTCTAAAATACTGTTGCTATGAAATGTTTTCTCTCACTCATCAGATAGTTTCAGCTGAAGTACCAGAATATGCTAAAATAAAATATAACGCGTTTTGATAAAATTTTACTGAGCAGTTTGTTTTCCTAAGTTACAATCTTAATTTCATTTTCCAGTTTTTTTGTGTCGAAAATATTACTAATTTAGAAACACCAAAATTCTGATGAATGATATCGGAATACACTGAAATTTTGTGGAATATTGAGATTCACTAATCGTTTAGTTCATTACTTGTTTGGAAATGAACTGCTTTATTGATTGTAGAATTTGAGTTTATGCATAAATTGTGTCTGAACATAAAGCAGTTCTAAACACCATTTTTCTGTTTTATCGGCTTTTAATTAATTATGTTTGCCTGCCACAAATTTTTCGATATAAACACAAAACAGAACAAAACAAAAAGGTGTGTTAGGTTTTAATTACATTGAATTTTTCAGACCGCTTCACCATTATAGACGTAAGAAATATTATATTTGCTGTTATATACAACAGTTTTCCAGAATTCATAATAAGTTCCACTTCTCATTGCAAATCCTTTGTGCTAAGAATCATATCTGGATCTTGTATATCATTACAGAATTCCATGACTTTGCCTCTCTTCTTTTTTCTGCAGAAAAATGTGAAAAATGTTTTAATGATTTAAGGTACTTTTTTAACTACATTTCGACAGGGATTTCCCTATATCTAATGCTATCAATAAGAAAACAGCAGCTTTCTTTTTTCTTCCTTTCTCTCTTTTTTTAACTGACTTTAATTTATATTACTTTTATTCCACATTTAGCAGTACATTAATAATATGTTTGCTGTGTGTCAGTAGCAGACAATTCACCTTACAAAGGTGAAAAGGTGAAGAAGCAAGAATAGGAAAAAAACAGAAAGAAAACTCCTTTCTGCATTATGGAATTTGAGCCGGTTGCCAGATCATTGGGTCCGTGCTGGAATCCTGTAGAAAGCATTAATATTTGTGATTGTCTGTTTTCCATCATGTGGTGTAATAACGACCAGCTCCTGTGGTTCATCTTGGACAAAGTTATCGAAGTTAAGATGGCTAAATGATTGATCGGTTCGGCCGTTTAGCAAACGTCCGGTCGTTGGTGGTGGAGGAATTCATGGCATTTTAGCATTTTGAATACTGCCATTAATGTTACTTGATATGAGTTTCACTTTTCTTAGAAATTTATTAATAACAATTTACATAAGCATATTTTGAATCTGGAGGCTATTCAGGTCTTGAAAGATAAAATATCTGCCATCTTAATATTTTATTGTTTTTAACATATCATTGTCTATAACGTTTCTTCAATATGTTTTCTAATCCAATCCAGGTAATGGCTAACTCGAGTATAAACTCCTGGATACCCTGGTTCTGCACATTTTTTACCAAAAGAAACGATGCCCACCAAATAAAATCTTCCATCTGCACCTGCTAACATCATAGGTCCACCAGAGTCACCCTGAAAAAGATTACAGTAGTCTTTCAATATAAGTTTAATTACGTGTAAACATAAATTGCATAAATGATGCCATTTTATCTAAAATTTGCTGTTTTTCATAAGTTCAAAAACTAAGAGGAAAAGTTTTAGTAACTCAAAAAATACACATTTAATTAGAATTAAATATTTGAAAATCTTTATTAAACTATAAGCTATAAAATTTCCCAATAATATTTTACATGAGACGTCTTTTAAATGCAAGCATAATAATATTGGAAAAAACTATAGAAATTGAAGAGTCGAAGTGCCTTAAAATATGAAGAATAATCCCCTAACAGAGTTATATAGAAATCATAGAGATGTATCTTTCTGTTAGAAACAATGTTACATCATAGAGCTGGTAGTAATAATTATTGCTATTTTTCCATATAGGGCAGTGACATGTCTCCATATAACATCCCATACATGCTACATAAGAACAGGTCATGAAATTGAGATTTCCAGTGTATGCATATGATACTTTCTTGAGCTGCTATTGGACCTGCTAGCTACCCTCAGCTGTGAGTCAAAAGAAACAGAAGTTCAGAGAATCTTCGCTTCTAGGAAATCTGATTAATTAACCTACGAGAAACAAAGAAACACCGTCTAGACGTACACTCTCTCATTCCTCTCCTATGTAGACAGAGTTACAAGCGAAACATTTTCCTCAGCCTCACGAAATGTTGCCGGTATATACGTGCAACAGATTGCTAAGCACAAGAATTTCAGCTAGACTCCTCCCTTTCAAACTAATGCTGGAAAAAAGGCGTTTTTTGGAAAAGTTTCTTCTAGCGTTACGTACGGATAGATTTGATAAAGCCATTAGAAATGCTGAGATGAGGATAGTCTCCTCATTATTTTGAAGAATTTTCTTCTTGCCGAAGGACTTGATCTATTGTATTTTATGAACACACGAGAAAAGCAACTCTTATATCCGTAGGCATTCGATTGATTGATTGATGATTAAGACAAAACACACGAAGACTGTCTGGCTAAGGGAGGGATGTCTTTGTGAAAGAGTTTCCAAGAAAAACTGGATCTTGCTTACACATGGGGTTACACGTTACACATGTGACAAACTGCAAACACACTTATACACCGGACTCGCTCACGAGAATTCGAACCCGGTTCAGCGATCCTAATTATTCTGTCATGCAAGAAAGTAGGTGAGTATTAGGCAAATTACATCTTATACTGATATGAAGGGGTTAATAGGGATACACTTTGTACTACGCTCAGAAGACTGAAGATGAAGACGACGTATAAAGCGAATGTAGATAAATACATCTATAAACACTACACATCTATAAACATCTATAAACACTACTGATTTTTGTTGCACCTTCGTCAAAATAATCTGAGGCTTTTCCCTTTTAAAGTGTCATTCTGTTGTGCATATTACTCATTGAAGTGACGTCAGTGGACTAGTTGGCTAGGCCAGGGGTCGGTAAACCGTTGCTCGCGAGCCAAATATGGTTCTTTTGCTCTTTTACAAAATAGCACACACGGGAAAGCTCTCATAAAAGCAAGAAAATCTTGAAACACACAACACTAAGACCGTCAAATGTTAGTGTTTGTTCATCATTATCATGATTTACGCTTTTGGATGCCTTAAAATTTTATTTCATCAATAAATAGTTTCGTTATTATGTGTAGTATCAAGTTTTATTCGACATACCTATATACTTTAACTAGGACTCGAAAATTGAAGTATTAAGTTAATTTTAGGGAGTGTTGTGGAGTGAAAAAAGATATAGCGTTGAGAATTCAGAAAGATATGTTAAGATGGTTTGGACGTATAGAGAGGATGAACAAAAGAAGATGCACAAAACGAGTATACAAGCCAAGTGTGGATGGGAGAGTCGGAAGAGGGTCGACCTCAGGGAATGACCGTTGATCGGACTGAAGACATTCTTAATAAAGTCAGCGTAAGAGTACCGTAATTATGTGAATAACAATATACCTACCTATAAAATTTAAGTTTAAAAAAATGTGGCTTTCAAAAGAGATTTCAATCGTTGAACTGTAGATAACTGGCTTAAAATGTTTCCTTTGTTTGTTTCGAGAAGAACTAAAAATATATATCAGTAGTTAAAAGCATTTTTATAGCATGAAGTACTAGAAATCGCAGCTTAATCTATTATTTATAGCATAACTAGTGTAATGTCCTCTTGGATAGTTTAAAACAACACACACCAAAAAAATTACATTACAAATGTAATAATATAATGAAAATAATGATAATTCTAAAATATTTATATTGATCTTATATAAGATAATAATAACTGAATAATCGAATAGAAAATTTTATAGGAAAAATATAGTTATAAAGAAGTAACACTGAAAATATTAGTGAAACGCTGTGGAGTAGCATGGTTTGTGCACTGAGCATGTTGATCAAAACAATTACTCAGCTGGAGGTGCATAAGAAAAAACAAGATTATCATTTTCTTTATCAGGCAACTGAAATTGTGAAATTTATTAAATTTGAACAGAATAAATTGGCAAGTTTTTAAATTATGAATGGTAAAACGTAATATTTAAGAACATCACACTTGCCCTTTTCTTGACAAGAATTACTTTACGCTTAGTCTTTAAGAATGTCTTGTTTAGTTCTGCTAGATTTTAAAGAGGTCAACCTCCTTGAATTTACAGAAGTCTACCTAATATAATTTGTTATTTTGTCTGCAGCTACTTTTAGTTCTTCAAAAATGCTTTCAGTTCGTCTTCAACCAACTTTAAGCTGTCGTCTTTAATGTCGACAGCAGTCATTTTCTAACTTCTGTACTCTCAGTTAAAATAAATTGCTTGAGATATATTTGCTGCAAGCTCGAGCGTTCAGCTCTTACTATGGGTGAATTTACCTGCTTGCTTGTTGTACTGAAAGAAATAAAAGACAGGAAGGAGCCAAGAGATATATTCTTAGCTCAAACCTAGTATATAAAATATGTACAAAATTGTAAATTTGGGCGCTAGTTGTTAAGCACCGATAATTTGTTATTTTCAAATACATTTTAAACTTCTTTTTCATAAAAAATGGAATTATGAAAATTGTGATCTGCTCCGTATGTCACATAAACACAAGACAATTTTCCTTAAAACTTTTTTCACTAAGGTATTCATCCTAAATGGCACATAATTCTCATTTAATTAACCATCCAATAACAGAAAATTATTACATACTTTGTTTGACATTATAAAGTCCAATGTTCTCTATTAGGTTTTTATAATGACATTTCACTCTTGTAAAAAATGAATAATCATCTATTAAATAATGTGTTCAACCTCAGACAGAAGAAAAAACAGAGCATAATTTTCTTGGAAAAATAAATTAATATAAATTTACTTTCCATGTTTTCTATTTAAGAAATTCAAAATGAAAATAAAGAACTTAAAAACCCTTATTTCCTTTATATATATATATATATATATATAAAAATAAGATGGTTTTATCGGCAGACAGAAGTAAAATTAAGTGTATTTGAATTTATTTTGTATTTGTTTAAACTTAAATTTTAGGACTAAAATCCGCGAGCGTTTAGGTGCTAGAGTTGCGCACTGTACTGACTCTCTCAGCGAAGAAAAATATGACTGCGATTTTCTAAGTTTTCATAGTTTTCATAGTTCAATTTCATAGTTTGCGAAGCTCGATGAAGATGATTCTAACGTTTAGTGACATCATTCCAAAATTGATCTAACTTGGAAAATAAAAAAATTAGTCAGCCTTCATATATTCAGATAAAGCAACTTACCCGGCAAGAATCTTTTGAGCCATCCCCAGCGCAAAGGTTTACTTGGGTGATAGGAACATCTCTTCTAAAAACCTGTTTACATTTATTGTTTTCCCAAATCTTGAGTTGTACTTCTTGCAGTTTCGCACTCGCGGGTCCTCCTAAAAATGTAACGACAGTCATATGGAATACCCAAAATATGCATATAAGATTCGCACTTTATTTTGCAATAAATGAGTAATATAAACAAATACTAATTACACTAATTGCAGAAAAATAAAATTATAGATTTAAGATTCTTAATTTAATTTAGTTTAAAGAAATTTAGCATTTCTGAACACCTGCTAAAATTTTTAAGAAGAAAATATCTTGTTTTTTTTCAAAGATTTCTTTTTCAAGGTTGCTTTAACCAGACTTCTCAACTGGTGTGGAATGGTTTGAGTTGAGGCTTGTAGACTGAATTTTAAATAAAGCGTTCAGCCATGGAACTGCAGAGGCCTGGATCAAATCGCGCAACAAAATGATAAAAATAGTTAAATGCATGTATTTATAATCATAATTTATATTCTAATAAATATATAAATAATAAGTATTGTTAAATATAGTGATATCCTATATATATTAATTTAACATGAAGCTAACAAATATTTATTATACGTGATAAACGTATAGGATAAGCTTTGCTGTAGTGTGTCACCAATTTTCAAAATTTAAAATTAAGTTTGAAGGTTGTACTTGAAAGATAATCGAGTAACAGATGATTGACTGACATCCTTATCTATTATTTTATACAGTCGCAATAGTATGCTATTTTATGAGTTCGAAATGCGTTTTCCAAAGAAGTGATCAAACAAAAAGGGTTTCTTTTGAGATCATTCCTATTGTTTTCCTTAAAAAGACATTTAATTATAGGGTTATTATTATTTTAATTAACCAGTTATTTATGATTTAAACCTTTACTATAACTTCTCTTTTTTCGTTTCCTCACCAGAAGCGTAAATCATTAGAAAGGCTTTAAACTGAGGTTTCGGATAGAAGACAGAGCGTGTTTCTGCCTTTGGAGTTCACGTTACTAGGTTTTGTCAGCTCTAATAAGATTAAAATTATTAGGCCTCTCGTTATACGTAGATGCCGTCATTTAAATCATACGCCGATGAGAAGTTCTGAAGAAACTAGAATTAAAGTTGATTGAGTAGCCTTTGACTACTAGCCTATGTTTTAATTTGAATTTGACTGTCACTTTAAGTTACATCGCCACAAACAGTGGCTGATCTTGTTAAACACAAAAAATAGGTGTCCGCTGAAAACATCGAGGCAAAAACATCGCAGACGAAAACATTATGGAGAAAACAACGCAAGGCGAAAACATGGTGGTACAAAACATCATGGGAGAAAAGAAAGCAAAGGGAAAACATCATGGTACAAAATAATCGTCGTCGAAAACAAAGCGACTCAAAAACTTCGCAGATTAAATTCATCGTCGTCGAAAGTACCGTGGTAAAAAATGAAGCATCTACAAATCATTGCTTGACGATAACATCGCAGACATGCGTTTTTCTGGTTTTAAAAGTTGTAAATGCATATTCGCATAATGATTTGGGAGCGCAAGAAGGAAATAGGAATATATTTATTTTTATAATTCATAATTTTGAATTAACTAATACATTTTTGCTGAAAAAGTAAGAAGGAAGCTTAAGCATTTAAAAACTGCAAGTGAGCGGAAAGTTAAAGCAACTTATAGCATTTAATAGAATTTTAAATTCACATACTTAATGAATAAAGGTCATTAATAGATTAATCTTTTTTATAAAGTTTTACTGGTAATTTTTCATGAAACTTTTAGTCTTAAAATGATTAGAAAAAGGCAGATGCATAACTGCATGAGGTTACCTCTATAAAAATTGCTAATTAATTATCAAATTAATTCTTTCACGTTTATTAATCTAATATTCCTTTAGTAAAAATTATATCCTATCCTTTTTGCCATTTATTCTTAGTGCTGTTAACATTTTCACGTACAACATTCAATCAGTTATTCGGATGTCGATTTGTTAGTTATGATGAAAGTCAGCTACATAATATTTCAGCAGGGAATTTAGATTTATTGAATTATGCCAAAGCACAATATAGCTATTCGCTTAAAAGGAGGGACGCCTTTGTGGAGTACTTTCTCAGGAACTGGATCATATCCCCGTTATTGCATTAGAAAAAAAAAACACGTATATCTCATCCAGCCAGCTCGTTTGTCAGCTCGAAATAGCAGTGTTCAGGAAACTTAACCGCTCGGGCACTGGAGGCTAGTCTTTTTTAGAAATAATACATAATTGCGGTGAACCCCTCTCAGAAACACTGTATGTTTGTAATACGACAAGTGTTCTGCGAATAGAAATAAAAAAAAAGGCTTTTATCATTATGCAATATGACCACATCCACGCAAGTTTAAAAAATATGGAATCTTGAGTGGTCGCTTTGAAGAGAATTGTTTTGCTAAATTTGGAATTCAAGCTTAGTAATCATGAAATGGGAAGACCCACTACTCAGTATCTGACCGAAAGTTTTTTTTTTTTTTTTTTTTGGAAGAACTAAGAAGGGTGTCAGCTGTAGTTTACCTCACTCATATAATTTATACTTAATTTCTTCCCTATTACTTCATTTGAAAATTTCAGATCAATTACTATGGAAAATTACCTTTTAATTCAAGTAACCTCTGTGCGGACAATTGTTTGAACAGCTGTTATTTTGAATTATGAACTAAACTGCATGCATTGATTGTAATGACTCCTGTTTCTTAGCATGGAATCCATAATGGGAAATATTTTTAGTGTCACATTAGTTATAAATTTCTTGGTATCAGAATTACTATGTAGCTGCTATCCTGTTACGTCTTCATACCTAATATTTGATTGCTCATTAATAAAAGAATTATGTGCTTCCTATACGACGCATTGTTACAGAGATAAAATATTATAAAAAAAAAGGAATGTTGTATACCGTCTTGTTTATTAGTAAAAAAAATTCTTGGAATTTGTTTTGCTGCATAAAGCTGTTATTAGATTTTATACAGCAGTGTAAGAGTAGACATCTCTTTCTTCTAGAGTTTATAACACCAGTCTCAACAAAATTTGTATATCTTAATTCATGAGAAATCCATCAGTTCAAAAGCAACTCAACTGAATTTATGGTCGAAAGAGGACTGGTGATGTAATGTACATTGGTAGAAGGGAGTTTCTGCCAGAAATAATGGGAGAATGTTGTCTAATTGAATTAAATAAACATAACATGAATAAATATTGTATCCTGTGCATAAAGTCAGATTCAGGTTTACAAAATTTAATTCCTCTAAAAAACGAAGAAATCATAAAGATGAAGGTTTATTTCCCATTGCAGTTCCCAAATTATAAAAAATGGAAGTCAAAATTTTATCATTTGTTTTGATGCCAATAAATGATACGGTATTTTCAATAATCTTTGATCTTTCTTTATGAGGGCTGAATTTCAAAACTTACCATAGGACGTTGTCCCCCAGCCAGCTACAAAGGCATTTCTTTCAGCTAAATCATCTCCGTGAAACGTTTCGAAGGGAAGACAAACACAAGCTACATTGCTATTGAATTCAACAGCTGAATTTAATATGAGTATTGCAATATCATGTTGAAAAGTACGAAGATCAAAACTGTTGTACTTAATTATGGAATGAACTCTCCTTTGAACTGGAACTACACCGTCATCATCACTTTCAATATCATAGTCTCCGAGTACTACAGCAATCCTCCTCGGATTTATTCTGAAAATGATTACACAATAAATATTAGTTAAGACATTCGTTATATCAGTACCCCTATTATGGTGTATTGGTGTGTGTGGTGTATTGAGAATACGGCAAAGCACACTAGGGCTATCTGCCTAAGGGGAGGGATGCCTTTCGTGGAGGAATTTCTAAGGGAAAACGGCTCGTATACACGTTACACATGGGGAAAACCACCAAAACGCCCATGAAGCCAGCCCGTTCGCGGGATTCGAACCTCGGACCGAACTACCAGTGTTCAGCGATTTTACCGCTCGGCCGCTGGTGGGCGTACCTCTATTATGTACTTATCAGATAAAAAAGTCTTCAATGCTTTGGAAATATAGAACATCATATGAACTTTAATGCAGAATTTTGAAAATAAGCTTTTTTTACAAATCGAAAATCAAAAATGTATAGTAATGAGTCTATGATTATTAAATCATAATGCTTTTAAAGAACAAATTTTACATGCGCAGATAAAGATGAAAAGCTATACAGGCAGACAGATGAGTGCTGAAAACTTAAAACAATTACGTATGCGTATGTAGAGGTCCACCAAGTGGATAAAAGATGAATGCTAGTAGTTCGACCCAGGTAAAGCTTTTGACCGCGTCTGGCATCCAGGTCTGCTCTACAAATTTATCAGACTCGACCTGCCTCGTGAACTGGCTTTGCTCATAAACTCTTTTCTGGAAAAGCACACTTTGACTATTAAACACGGAAAGGCGATTTCTACTGTAAAGAATATCGTAGCTGGTATTCCGCAAGGTAGCATCCTTGGACCTTTATTTTACATATTTTACGTTACATACGTTATTTGGCTTTGTGTACTGGCGATTTTTGCCGCAAAAATCAAAGCCAAAATAACAAATCAAAGAACTGCACAAACTTGGTATCCATGTACTGCCAAAAATCGCGAATTTTAGAATTTAGAAAAATCAAAGCCAAAATAACAAATCAAAGAACTGCACAAACTTGGTATCCATGTACTGCCAAAAATCGCGAATTTTCACCAAGGGACACACGTTAATATGTTTTTACCCACTTACCCTCAGAATGGAGTATGTTATCTGTTGTGCTTTATCATATTCGAATAACCAAATCTCGATAGCAATTTTATCTTATGACTTGAGGTTTAAAAAAGTATGTAATTTAAAAGTCCAGTTTTTCGTATTAAATTTAATATTTCTTAGAACCTTCTGAGTAGTCAGTTCAAAACTATTGTAATTATTCACTTATATTTATTTACTCGCATGAATCGACCATCAAATGTTTAAATGCATAATCAGCAAAATCTATAAAATCTATATATTTTATGGCTATTTTTTCACATTACCAGACTAAATATGTAGATTTATGCTCAGTGCACTAATCATACTAAAACATACTCACGTTGCTCCTGATCTAGAAATGACGACGCAGTGTGCAGCAGTAAGTATATGCTTTTCCGTGATTAAGACACCTCCACATTCTGCGGATCTTCCTCTAGGCGTTATGTAGTATAATACTGCCTGTAAGATTCATTACAAATTACAGATATTGGAATTATGAAAAAGAATATCTGGTGTTTTTTTAAAGGTAATTATGTTTAAGCTATTGCAGTGTTTTTGACATCGTTGTTCATGTCTCATCAATTTAGTTCCGCATTGTTTACATGATGAATTCATTCGTCATAATTCCGAAAAACAACATGATTATTTCAGTTGAAGTCTGAAATAAGCATTACTGAGCATACCATTTGAGCATTTTTAAATAAGTTTTGTATGACGCTGTGATCAGTTTTAATTTCAAACATTAGTTACTGCAACGATAATGTTTATGTTATTTACCTTACATTGCAAAATTTCATCATCCATTCATCATTGATCTTATTTAATGAATATTTTATTTCCACATTCTGGATTCGAAGTCAGCCTACTGCACAGCATTTGAATGGTAACATGTTGTGCCATCCATATACAAATGAAATGTGCTTAATTATGTTATCAGGGTCAATGTTCCTTCTTACCTTCTTCGGGAACATGCAAGGACCTGACTCGGAACAGAGAGCTTACTAAAGCTATGTTCAAAACTGTGGGAAGTAGACAGGATACACAAGAAGGGTATACAAAACCCTTTATTTTTCTCTATTTACAAAAACTTCCGTACTTCGGAATACACAGACCCGCTACTCGGGGTCTAACGTAAAAATATAAAAATAGAACTAAACTCTAATTTAACTTTAAAATAATAAACGTGGAAGATTGGCCTTATATTAACAGGAAGCGTATGTAGTACAGAGAACTGTGAACACTACAATACGTTTAAAAATTATCAAGAGGATTAAAACCTCTGGCCTGGAAGGCAACAAGCAACTGCGTAACTTCTAAGGTAAGCGGCCTGCTTCGACTCACTGCTTCCTCTCTCTCGCTTGGCAAAAAGCCACAACTTAAATACTTGGCGTTCGCCAGACAAACTTTGCATAAATACCTTCACGCTTATAATTCTGGCCGGAAGTAGAAAATAAGAAGTGATAGTAAAGATTTAAAATAAAATAAACGTTAGTAAAACTTAAGATCCTTACAATGCCATCCAAATATCAAAATGTTGATCCACCAGCGGCCGAACGGTAAAATCCCTTAACTCTGGTAGTCCAGTCTGTGTTTCGAATTCCATTGAACGGGCTAGCTTCATTGGAATTTTTGTGTTTTTCCCCACGTGTAAAGTAGATATATGCCAGTATTCCTTAAAAATCACCCATGGGGAATCCCTCATCTTGGCGGATATCATTTTGTGCGTCACCATAATAATTGATTATTTTGATTACAGCAAAGTAGACGAGGCTATATGCGTAAGGGTAGGCATGCCTTCGTGGAGGAATTTAAGAGAAAGTGGCTCATATACACGTTACACATGAAAAAAATCCCGAAAACGCTTGTTAGCTGGGATTCGAACCCCGGACAGAACTACAGGGTTCAGTGATTTTATCGCTCTGCCGATGGAGGACTCGTTGCCGTAATAAACTAAAGAAATATCAAAATGCAGACGTAAACCATGCAAAAGATGATACACTTTTAATTATGATGCAAAATACTAGTGTACTAAAATGTAAAAATATAACATTAATGCTAGTGTACTATAAAGCAAAATGTTAGTGTACTATAATGTAATAAGGTAACATTAACGTTAGTGTACTATAATGGAATAATGTAACACTAATGTTAGTGTACTGTAATGGTAATATAAAGCCAAGTGCAAGTAGCCATTAGAATTTCTTATGACTACAGCCAATTGACAATAGAATTGTTTATGAGACAAAGATGAGGACAAGGCTTTACAAGAAAAAGGTTATAGACATATAATAGACAATAGGGACATATAACTACATTGCAATCTTTAGACGATTTAGGTTAAAATACAAATATTAAAGAAATTTATAGTTTACTTACCATCCACGGCCAGGCACCGATAACAGAATCTTGACCGCCTACAATTCTTCGGAATGTAGCTTTGCTTTGGCCGCATTCTGAAAAGAAAATTTTTCGTTAATCGAAGGTACTTCATTTTAAAACTAGGCATATATGCAAAGTGTTTCCGTCTTGCTAAAATAAATTTCTTATCGATTCCCCAATATCTCAAATTTCAAAATTTATTTGTTAGAAATCGACCTAAAACCCTCTGATACAAAATGACAGCAATATTTTGCTTTTTGAGCCCCTCTGGCTCGGGCTGGCCTTCTTTTTAATCTTGGGCTTCATTACTTTTATCCTGAGAGCATACGTTATATTCTGAATATTAGAATTAAAAGTATAGCGGATTATAAACAGTGAGGTTAACCTACAGATTAAGGTTATTTCTTATAAAATAGTTCTAATATCGGCTTATTATTTTTAATCGCTTTCTTCGCATTATTCAGTAGTAATATGCTTTTAATCTTTTTAAGTATGAAATTTATGCAGTTTCTTAATGCAGGGTGACTTATTAGATCACTGTATGCAAAGCGCGGAATAAAACCAACATTTTTATCAGCTTTGTCCTTCATGATGAGTTCAAGGTAAATAATTCTCACACAGGTAATCTATTAGAGAATATGGTTGTAGCTGGAGTAACTGAAGGTTACATGCAAAATATGAATAGTCTGTCCGATTACCGGAATAGAAAATGACAATTCATCATCCTACGAAGTTCATCTGAATGATTTGCTGCATATATACAAATACTGAAATATTTAAACTATAAATGGTAAAACAAATTCTTTGCTGAAACAAAGATGATTCTGTCAAAGATGTCATATAATTCACAGCATTCAAGAATGCTGTAAATCACTTTGAATGATACGATGCATTCTTTGCATCATATAATTCAGAGAAATTGATAGTAGCTCATACCTTTCTTAAAAACTCAGGTAAAAGACACTTATTAAAATTATTATTTCAGCAGTTGTTTATTGCTGCGATTCAAGCTATCAGTTACTGACGAATTGCCCGTCATATAAATTAACAGATATAGGTTGCGTTGGGAAGAATACTTTTGTTTTTAGTTAATATTCATTCTCAGCTTTGGTTTTTCCGAATATTTCCTTTTATAATAAATCCTGATTTATAATTTTTAATAATGCATTTCTTATATTCAGCTTTGCTTATTTTCTCAAATATTTCCCTTCATAATAAATGCTAATTTAGAATTTTTAACAAGACATATCTTAGAAACTTCGGTAAACAAAGCATTACCTTGCGGAAGTAGTTGCTGAATTTCTTGTCGTCCGTTTCGATTTCTATTAACTTGAGATTCGATGAAGTCGTTGGCTCTTTCAAGATTCCTTGCGTTCTTTTGTTCACCCGTAGCTGAACTAGGCTTTATATTCTTGTTTTCGATAGATGTTGATAGATGCTTTTCTGTTGCTTCAGGGATTAGTACTTTACCAGATTCGTTAGAAGTGCTATTAAGTTCGCTTTTGACATTATCATCATTGACTAGAACACAACAAATTCTGTTATTTCTAATAAATAGTATTTAAATTGCAATTGAAATTTTCAAAAACTTATTGCACACATACTCCTCCCACACGAAAAAAGTCTTGTCTTTTAAAAAATAAAATTATAAGAAAGATTTAGACATAACGCAAAATATACGCAACACAGCATTATTTATGCAAATAAATACAAAATGGACATTAATAACACCCATTCGCAGTTCACTAGTACACACTATTCACTTACACATGCAAAGATAGCGTTATCGGCAGTGAGAAGTCGAGTTAAAAATCCCGGCTGTGTGACACATTTTTACAAATTTAGCGAGCGAATTTTATATACTGCAGATAATATCGTATTTCCAGTGACTAGATCCGTTCCTCTGAGTTATCGGCAGTGAGAAGTCGAGTTAAAAATCTCGGCTGTGTGACACAGTTTTACAAATTTAGCGAGCGAATTTTATATGCTGCAGATAATATCGTATTTCCAGTGACTGGATCCGTTCCTCAGAGTAACATCTGCCATATTCTGAGCTGAGGAATGTCAACATGTACTTGAACGTGGATTGCGTTCAGTTTGGGGGTCTGACTATTTTTTATTTTTTTTATTTATTTTTTATTTATTTTTTTTTTTTGCATGCTTATCTCGAAGGATCTAGTTTTACACAATCTGCAGTGCAAAAGCTCAAAATTTTGATAATCTGATGGTATGTTTGGGATCCCTTCATGATACCACCATCGCGACTCACCCGTTTCCACTCGCTGCCTTTTAAACGAAGTGCATATTAGACATTTCAATATTACTGTAACAATGCAGCTTTTACTTGCCACAACACTGCTGCTAATGATAATGGCTCACCCTGTTTAGTGAATGTTTCGGAGAATAATATACTCAAGGAAGGGGGTTGTTGAGGGATACAAATTCTTATATAAAAATGATTCGCCTTTTAATTTCTGTCAAAGTTTAAAGTATTTTAATTTAAGTTTAAAGCTTGCTAAAATCTTTTGAATTTTGTCTAAGACTTTTTGAATCACCCTGTATATTAAGAAGTTCCTCCGACTGTTGGAGTCAACAGTAACCCGAAGATGCGAGCATTCGAGCGAGGAGTATTCGCAAGAAATGTCATTCAGTCAAAAATATTTAATGTTTCTGAAAAAATACAAAAGGTACAAAACTGCCCGATGAATCGCTGTAGACAGGCAGCTAAAAATATAAAACAAATACATTAATAATAATGTTTAATTTAACGGTGCTATAATTTATTTCTCAAATGATCCATTCTCACAATGAAAATAAAGCATAATAAAAGAATGGGTAAAAACAAGATATTTTCTGCTGTTATCCGTACATGCCGGTTATTGGAATATATAAAAGGTTAAAATAATTTAATCTTTGAAAAACGAGGCTGGGATACAGATAAATCTGATATTCATCTTATTGTACAATAATGCCTCATATTTTATCCATGTTCAGGCAGCAGAAAAAATACACATTATATAGGACAATAGGTAATGTAAGATACATATATAAGTGCCTGAGAACATAGGGGGCGGAGATTCGAGTTCCATTATTGCTATGGAAGTACTTTCGAATTCTTTTGTGCTGGTAAAATTTTCGTTGTGTTATATATGTATTACTCGAGGAAGACTTGACAAATATCAAGTTGGAAAACGTCTGTTGTCCAACTGTAATTGTAATTTATGCCACAGTGACTTCTCAAGGGTTCTCAACAAGGGGGAATTTCATAGTTTCAGCCTAACTCTATTTGATTCCTGTTGTATCGTTAAAAATAATTTAAATACAAGTACATGTAGTATTTTTCAAGTTTGGGAAGGGGGGATGATATTCTAGCAAGGCATGCATGGGGAAAAACAGGTTGAGAATCACTCTTATAGACCAAATGTATAATAACAGATCATGGATAGTAAAAAAAATAATTTTAAGAAATAATATACTTTTCCTCAACTAGATCTTCGGAACTGAACCGAAGTAAAAGATCGAAATTTGTAAATATATGCAGTTCGTGTGAATATTTTCGAGCACCGAGTTTCCAGTTTTGAAATGTATATTTACGAAAAAGCTTTACACGAGTAACTTTAGAGAAATTATATGAGGGGTTCGAAGGTTTTCAGAGATGTAGTAGCTTCAGGCAAATCCCTAAATCAAAATAAATAAATAAATAAATAAAACCAGAAAATCGTCTCAAAACGGGATTGCATTTGAAATAAAGCCAAGTACTGAGTCTCATAAAGAGAAAAGATGCCATCATGGAGGACTTTCCAATAAAAAGTGGTTGGTAAAAGTAATGCATATGCAAACCGACCGGCATACAGGATGATCACATAAGCCATTTACGCTATTCCCGCGGTTACTGTTAGTTCTGTAACCTGTGCATTTGCTGTACTGGCTGGATAGCGCTGGGTATTTACAGCCAAATACCAGTCCTTTCGTACAGTTTTAACACATGGACGATCTTGATCATATTGTTCTAGAACATCTTCCAGATTGCAGGCCTGCTTATTGTTTAATAGATAAATAGATAAAGGGTGCGAGAGTCAAATACCAAAGAAAGGGGGAGCTTTATGTGGTACTTTTAAGAGAAATTGGTTCATATTCACATCTCTCACAGGGAAAATCATGAAAACGCTATGCAGCTAGACCATGTCGTTGAAACTCGAGCCAGGCTCGAACTACTGTAGTTCGTCTGTCTTTAGTCACTCTGCCACTTTGGGACAGTTTCTGTTCTGCTGATGATCTTAACATCACTATTGTCACTGACATGTTCTTTTTAATTCTTTTGTCTATTAACCGTCTTTAGGCTTAAAATGCCAATAATAATATCAATGATTTCAAAACGAAGAACAAATGGATTCTACTACCACCCGTTCTATTTGTATCTACCAGACAAACGAACTACCCTCATGTGCATAAATTAAGGATTTAATTTCCGGAGTCACGCGGAAATCCAACTCTAAAATAAATATATCACCTGTAAAATCACTACACACATCTTCAAGAATCATATGCAAATTTCAGGAAGTAACCAGATGACACCGATGGTACGTCACAATGACGAGAGTGTAAGAGAGTGATATATTAGGAATACAGGCAAAGAAGTAAAATTGTTCGCAGGCTCTTTATAAGCATTTCAGTGCAATAACCGAATAGTTATGACACAAAGGACGCATTTGGATGATTTTTTACGTGGTAGAATTATCTTCCGTCTGGAATGTGGGCGTACCCAACTGGAAGTATCAGACGAACTTGGGATTGCCCAGAGTGTCATCTCCAGGCTTTGGCAAAGATTCCAAGATGATGGTAATGTGAGTAGACGTTACAGCACAGGTCGTCCCAGAGTTACAACGCTGAATGAGGACCGGTGTTTGGCAGTTACTGCCAAAAGAAACAGGCGGAGCACAGCCTCAGACCTGTCTCGTCAGCTGTCTTCAGCCACTGGTATGACAATTTCAAGGCAGACCGTGTACCGACGCTTAGGGCAGACTGGTCTATATGCTCGTAGACCTGTCAGATGCGTTCCACTTACTGCAACTCACTGTCGCCTGCGGTTAGCCTGGAGTAGAGAGTATGCATTGTGGACACCGCAACAGTGGGCTTGTGTGATGTTTTCCGACGAGTTCAGGTTTAGCTTGCAGCCTGATTCTCGCCGGACGTTCATATGGAGAGCTCCAGGTACCCGTTACCACCAAGAAAACATCATTGAACGACACCGTTACGGTGGTGCAGGAGTGCTCGTTTGGGGTGGAATTATTCTGCGTTCCAGAACTGACCTGCATGTTCAAATTGGAACCATGGCAAGCCAAATCTATCGGGACGTTATTCTAGAGCAACATGTACGTTTGCTTCGGGGCGCCATAGGCGCAGAATTTGTGTTTATGGATGACAACGTCCGTCCTCACCGTGCAAACATCGTAAGCGAATGCATTCAATCGGAGGATATCAATTGTATGGACTGGCCAGCATTCTCACCGGACTTGAATCCCGTAGAGCACATGCTTGGCCGACGAGTTGCAGCCCGTCAACCTCCTCCTACATGTCTACCAAAACTTCGGAGAGCATTGCTTTTTGAGTGGTTAATATCCCGCAAGATCAGATCGTTAATTTTATAGTCAGCATGCCTAGGCGTTGTACGGACTATATTGCATCGTCTGGGAGACATACAATGTATTAACAATCATACCAACCATGTAATATTAGTCTTTTGTAAATAGGGTTTTTTTTTGTAATTTGCTCCAGGGTGAAAATTCGCTAATTATATTAATAATATCAAACATATAGCATCTTTTTTTGCTCTTTACCTTTTGTTTAATAAATAAGCTTTACAAATAAGTCAAATTTGTTTTGCTTCTAAGTCTTCCTTTGCCTGATTTTGCATTATCCTTAATTTATGGACATGAGTGTATTATTAAACTACACAATCGGACTTAGACGACGCGGAGTTTAAAACTTCTCTTACTTATATTTTTTAAAGAATGTCTGTATGTTTCTTAAGGGTGATAAGGAACTTTGGTACACGATTTCACTTTTAATAAAGTATTGGTAATTATTAGGGGATTAATTTATGGATATGAGAATTCTATGATTATTGTCTTAGAATTATTCTAGCTGCGTGCATCTAAAAAGTGTTACCGTAATTTCATTTACAACAAAACTAGTGAAGAGGCCGAGTACATAAAACTGTGAGTGCTAGAAATTTGATTTTGATTTCGAATTCCTGAAAAACGTTTTGCGATTCACAATTTCACCAGAAGTGCAATCACAACTTTTGCATGTTATGTAAATACATCCCAGTTACCTTTGGATAATCACTACGAATAAATAATTCCAGAGTAAAGAATTTTTTATCTCTATTCTCCATTCAGAATATAAATAATAAAGTAACATACTTTAGGAGGCACACAGTAGATTAAAAATTGGAAAGGGAATTGTACAGAATTGAAAATATTTGGATTAATCCCATACTATTAAAGTTAGTAAAATATATGTATTAGTATCTGAAATTCCGTTCAGAATCATAACCAGTTTAAAATAGAATACTTACTAGAAGTAACAGGATTTTTAATTAATTCCTTTTTCACAGTTGTCAGAATTTCTAGCAATAGTGTTTGTGAAGATATTGTAGTTACTTCAGAAACTGCTGCATTTCTAGGAAGCTCTTTAAAAGAGGAGATATTACCAAGCTGAAGCACATCTGTAGAATGAAGCGTATCTGTAGATAGTGTGCTACTCGGTAAAGTAACTTCATTTTCAGCAGAAAGAGGGCAACAAATTCTTGGCGTTTTCCCCCCAAGATTGCAGGTACTACTCCTGTATAGTCTTCTGTGACCTCTTAGATTACGGCAACGTTGGAAAGGAACACAGATACCAGCTTTCACTGTAGCTGTGCTACAAAGTTGCCCTTGAAGTCTACCTGCTGAATGAGCAAAATTAATGAAAAGTATCAAAGAAAAAAAGTTACAAGTCACTAAATATTGGTTATAATAATAAGTATTTATGGTATCATGTTTTTTCAATTAGAATCCAATTCGTTACAGTTATAATCGCGAAATGTTATGTGAAAGAACGAAGTTTTGTTATTGTGGGAATGTGCTTTGTTATCGTGTAAATATTGTATTATAATGAATAAAGTTACGCGAAAATACTTCGCAGGGAAAAAATGTGGTATCTGTGGTAGAAATGTATTCAGAAAATCAGTTTGTAGGAATTTGTATTTATTTTAACTACTAACATTTTAAATTTGAAGTTCAGACTTTTATATAAGCCTTCATTCCCCTAATTGTCAGTGCCAGAATAGTTTAATGTCGTAGCTCGCGTGAACGCATGCAAATTTTCTATGTCGAAGGAAGTAGTTAAAAGTCGAGTTTCGGTAGATGAACGGGAGAGTTAGGCTCTAGCTGCCTTCTCTGCCGTAGGTACGTTTGCTCATTGCTGGTTCAAGTGGCTTAATTTGCATTGCTTTGCTGCCACTAGCTCAGAAGGGGTTTTAGATCGGGATCTCGCTGAGCTCTGTAGATTAGTTGAGCACTTCTTAAACATTTAAACTTTTTAATTTTCAATTACCTGACTTTCAGTTACCGCCCAAGTAGAGGCGGAGTTTGTTAGCGTCAAGTTGACGCATTGTAAACTTAAGTTAATTAAAGGGTTTGAACCCTTCTTCTGTGTAGTTTCCTGTTACTCCTGTATCCAGACAGAAGTTAACCCACCTGGACTCTACAAGTTAACTTGTCAAAGATAAAATGAGAGATTCAAGAGGACAATTTTAGTTACAGACATTAATACCCTCACATATTATCGTACTGACTGGACTCTTTAAAACATTACAATCTATCGTCCTCTGTGTTTTACAATGGGAACATTTCTCGATGAGGAGATGGCTAAATGAGCAAAATGTTCAGCCATAGTTTCCTGCGATTTCTTAATCAGCAAATGTCTGAACAATGGTGTGAAAGAAACATTGCCATACGGAGTAAAATTTACTGCACCAAAAATCTCAATTAGCCATTCACCACAAAGAATACTTATTTGTTTTATGAATAACCTGAACTAAACGAATTGCTATAATCCCTTGATACTTATTAGCTTGATCTCGAATAAATTCCCTAATAATTCCATTATAATAACAAGAAACAAATCTTACCTGATGGATCAGTACCACGCTGAGGGCTAGAAACAGTGATGGTCAGAAATACGCATAAGATCCAGTCGAAGAAAAGAAATTTCATCTCTTGCAGAATTGCCTGAGAGTATTCTGTAAAAAAAATAATAATTCAATGACAATTAAACATAATAATTTAATGATAATTAAACATAATCATAAGTTTTAAAACAATTAATATTAGTTAAAACATAAACATTAATTAATTAAATTAAGAAGAATTAAGCTAACTAAATTTCTAATAAAAGCTCTCTTCCATTATTAAACTGTGAGAATATTGGTACAGATTTAAGTAACATTAACTACTACGAAAACTTATCAATGTGACAAATCTATTAGCGAATAAAAAGTTTCAATAAATTACCTGCGAAGTTTTTCTCGTTTATAAATTTAAATTTTCTTAATTTAAATTGATTTCTTATTGAAATTAATATTAATCATTATCTGTAACAATACAGTCTGACTGAAAGCTTTATTTCAATTAGAGCTAATGCACATTAGTAAATTTATCACTCGTTTTCCTTTTACTCAAAATTTTCAGTAGTCTGTACAAAAAGCTGAAATTGAGAACTACGATCCGAATACGCGTCAACGGGTTTCGAGTCTTGTATGTCACAAATCCACATTTGCACAATGGTTAGTAATAGACGGTGCATTTTCAACACTTATGATGTTTAGAAACGAAAACTGATTTCCTTGAACGATTGCAAATCGTTCAGGAATCTTCTGTCTAATAGGCGAAAACTGAAGTGTAGTGACGCTTACAGTGAGGGATCAGATTGTTTCAAATTTATTTGATTAGCATACTATGCAGTATAAGTTAATTTATTTTTTTGAAATTTTAATTTGAATTAATTCTTCTTTTTATTCTTTTGATTTAATCACTTATTAGTGAGAATTAAAAACTAGGTTTTTTTCCTCCAAATAATACAGTTTTAATATATTATTCTCCAAATTAATTTAAAGTCCATAGCGATATTTTGAATAGTTCTCCTAGAAAGCTTTTATTACACTTTACATTTGCACATTATATTTAAAAGTTAAGGTTATAAACATTCGTTTTCTTTGAAGCAATTTCTATTTTTTTTTTTAATTTAATATTTTCTTACAAAATTTGGATACAGCAATCTATTTTTTATTAAATAGCTTAATGATTTTCTACATTTTTTTATATAGTTTTGTACTTACACATTGTAAAACTTTAGTGATTAGTTTTAACGTTAAAACTGTAGAGTCATTGGGATTTTTTGAAAGCCAGAGAGATGAAAAATTAGCAACCGCCTTCGCCGGGAATGGAACCACTGACTTCTAGAATACCGGCCCAGCGTGCTACCGTTACACCACGAAGGCACGCTAGGGAAGTAGGAGAAATACCTTATATACTCCCCTTTTTAAAGGGCGACTAAGGTTTTAGGGAACACCACGAAGGCGAAGTGGGAGAAATACCTTATAAAACGTTTTAATAACATTTAACATTGAAATTAAATTATATTGTATAAAGCTAGTATTACAATTTTACATAAATAATTTTTACAGGAAATCTGTTACAGATTTAGTTTATTTCTGTTTTGAAAAATTTCCACTGAGATGGATCAAATTAAAGATTTTCAGGCATTACATTAAAATATGATGATATTTACTTTTGTTTAACTACAGGGTTTCTCTCTTATTCTTAGTTGTTTTGCACACGAAATAAAAACGTCTTACCCAAAGAAGATTTTCACATTTTGTACGGACACCATCATCTGCTTAAACGAGAAACATTTGAAAGTTCCGGAGAAGAATTTGAGCCTTCTGGCACGTCAATCATGTACCCTATCTTCGCATTAAAGCTTTAAAAATTTTAGTTTTAGCGACAAAGAGCCCTTTAAATATTTGTCCCATGCATTTCTAAATCCATACAGGTGGCTGAAATGCACTATAATATACAGTGGGTGACCGATTTTACACACACGAAACGAAAAAATTCGCCCAGTTTTGACGCAGAACACCCCGGAGGACGGATCCAAAGGTTACCCTATCTCTCTTTATTTAATATTTTTTCTTAATTAATAATTAAATATTTTTCTTATATTTGTGGATAAAAAGTATGTGTTTTAATTAGAGTAACCGCCGTCCAGACGGTACAGTGGTTAATGGATCCTGACTGTGATACCGAAGGGCCGGGGTTCGAATCCTGGAGAAGGCATGGATGTAAAATTGTCTGTCCCTTTATAATAGGCAAAAGTGGCCCACCTATTAGGTGCCTCCATAATAAAGAGACCACCACATCTGGCCTTAAGAGTGGCCGATGCCGGCATAGGCAAGCGCCCGCCACTGGGGAGAAAAAAAATTAGGGTAACCACTTCTAAAACTATTAGCAGTCAACTTAACCTAATAGATATGCTAGAAAGCATGTACATGCGTAAAAGAATGTAATCCTAGCATTTCTAGCACTTGTAATTTAGAAATTAAACACTGAGTTACGAATATTGTTAAGCTAAAAAGACCGATCAGTAAAGGATCTTACGAAAAGAAAATTTCATACCTAAATCTTTGTTTAAAAGTGACACAGTATACGTGTCAATCATCTGATCATTAGTCAATGGGAACAGATACCGTTTTGAGGGCATTTGGCAAAACTGCGAATTGCCAATAACATACTCCTTGTCCTGCCAAGAAAAGCAATAAAATAATCAATTGCTCCCAACCTGAAGAATGGAAAGCAGTTGCTTTCTGACTGGTAATGTTTTGCATGTCTTATGTTCAGCATATGTGCTTAGTTTTCGAGTTCCATTAAAAGTGTAGTTACGAATGTTGTTATTAATTTACGTATGTATTAATTATAAAATTTAAAAGAAATTCACACTTATCTTTGCTTCGGGTTTTTCCAAATAATAAAATAAAATGTAACATTGCAACTGGAAAAAAAAAATCAGATTTACCTCTTAGAAATACAGGGTGTTTATAAACGAATGGTGTGGTTTTAAAAATTCATAATAAATCGATGAATTACTTTATATGAGCAAGCCTTACAGCAACTGACCAAGGTTTTAATGTTAATCACAATCCTTAAATGTGTACACCTTTGGTTATAAGATACAAATCTACACTATAATCAGATTCTTCCCAAACATGTAGCATGTCCGCCGTGACGGTCTGCAGTGCATAGTTTATTCGACTACAAATTTCCTCAAGGGACACGAACATTGGAGGTATATAAACTCGGTCTTTAACAAACCCCCGGTAGAAAGAAATCGCACGGTGTTAAATCTAGCGAACGGGGTGTCCAGGACAGAAGGTTGTTGTCTCCTGCTCTTTGATTACCCTTGAATCTCAAGGCAAATTTATATTTAAAACTAATTTGCATTCCATTGGAAGCTGAGGAAATTAGAAAAGCAAAAATAATAATGCATTATAGTAGAAGTCAAACAACAAGAATCAATGTAATATTTGCAAATTTTGCAGGACTAGTTTCGATGGTGTAACAATAGAACCAGCTTCTTCAGCTGCGCAGTTACAAATGGCCAGTCATTTGCACTTAAGCAGCTGAAGCAGATGGTTCTATAGTTAAATTATCGAAACTAGTCCTGCAAAATTTACAAATATTGCGCTGATTCTTGTTGTTTGACTTCTCCAATAATAATTTTTCAACGTGCTTTTTTAACCTAAATTAACAACCTAACTGGTTAATTAAAGTAGTCTTACAATTATGCAAATAAAAAATTCTAGCATTTTTCGAAAATGAGAAAAGCCTTGTGATTATAATGAAAAATTAATAAGCTGAGCGTTGAAGTTCCGATAAAGTCGTTAAGTGTTCGTTCATTCAAGATTTAAAAAATCCAAGGTTAATGTGAATTAGAATTTCACTAAATGAAATTATTTTATAGTGTTGAGTTGAAAACTAGCGTCTACATTCAAATGCAACAAATAAATACAGAAATATTGGTACAATTTTATTATTGGCGCAAGTTTACATTTAGTCATAATTTTAAGCGCATAGTCGAAATGTGGAAAATATTCTATATTCCATTTCGTAGAACTCGGCTGCCACACACATAAACTTTGCGAAATATAACCAACCCTAACGATACGTAAAGGTTTCAAGGGGAAAAAATGTGTAATAAAGATAATGTATCATATAATGTAATATAAAAATATATATGATGTCTAATGCGCGCAATGTCGAATTTGCGCTATTCTCTGATATGTTTTCACTAAAAAAAGTCAGAGAATTGCACACATTCGGAGCTATTCAGCACGCGATATAAGCAAGCTACCATTTACGCTCTGGCGCACAATTGGCACTTGGCACTTGGTTTTTACAGAAAAGCCGCAATCTATTGAGTGTTTTAAGTCGGATTTTTGAGGTACACAAAATACAAGCTGAATTTTGTCGAGATGCCAAATAGTGTGGCAAAGTTAGACCTATGCATAAACTTTTACCGCTATGCATAAAAATATTTTTTCTTTTTATATAATTAATAATGTTTTAAGTGAAATGTAATGCTTTTCCTTCCGCCAGTACAAATGCATTTCCTGAAGCAAGTAGCTTAATTTATATATTATTACACCTAATATTTGCTGTTATTATAGTTTTCACAATGCGGAAAAAGTGCCTGATGTGGCACACAAATTTCAGTATCATTTTTAAAATCAGGGTCAAGCAAACATTTAAAAGAATAATTATTTATTATTTTAAAAAATGGAAGATTTATTTTTTCACACAGGCCGATGTTATTTGATATATTACTATTAATATCTCAGTTTATCCTTTCAAATTTAGTTTTAATCCAACTTGACTATATAATTATAATTTTCCTTAAATTTAATCAAAAACAAATTTTGATGAGAGACTGGCGGCGGGGAGAGAAATAGAAGTCTATAAGATTGAATTCAAAAAGCGATATCTTGCATATTTGGTTTGAGAACCATTAATATATTTAGAGCTCCATGCTCCTTTCTGTTGTCTCATTTATTTGATTTTGGCAAAATAAGCATGGACTATCTGCCTAAGCGGAGAGATATCTTCGCGGGGGACATTCTAAGGGAAACTGGCTCGTATCCACGTTACACATGGGTAAAAACACAAAAATGCTCATGCAACTCGTTGC